ATATTCTATCCTGAAAAAAAAAAATAAAATTGAAAAGTTTTACATACACAAAATATATTCCAAAAACTGACCATGATGGCATAAAATAATCTGTTTTTAGCTTAATATGAATGAACCTATCATTTTTTCGCAAGGCATGTTAGGAATATTTTTTTCAGCTAGTATAAATACCTTTCGATCAAAATAAGATAAATTGGAATCGGTTCAGCAGGGACCGAGATATGCCACTTGGTTCATAATGAAGCGACGGCCATCTTGGATGACGTCATCATAGCCACACGCAACATCTGTAAGTGTCACCATCGACATTATTGGACTACATGTTTTTATCTATCGATTAGTACCACTAGTACCTTCCCTTCATTAACTTTCCCACGGGACACACAATGCTCCCGTACTATATATTCATTTCTCATGTACAATTTTGTGTACTATATTACCAGATACTCGAAAAAATACATACCTAGCGTCAAAAACGTACGTATAACTACGTCTAAAAACTATAGCATCTCATGAAAGCGGCTAATGAAAATTGCGACCTTATTCTTAAGATGCTCACAAAAATTATGGACACCAACCAACAATATTAAAGAAACTTATCCTATTTAACATCAAAGTGATATTTCTGTTGAATTCAAGACCTCTGTGCAATAAAAATAATATTTTATGAACATCAGTGAAGAATTAGAATTGAAGATATTTTTAATAAGTACGCCCCCGTGGTAGAGGAAGGATCTCACAATTTCGGCTCTAAAAGCGCTTTCTATCTTCGTCTCTTAATCTTAATAATACCAATAAAAGCCTCTGTTCTGGCATTTTCTGAGTTTGATCAAGTAAGTAACAGACTTTTGTTCACCACTCGGCAGTGGCGCTTCCACTCTCGGTGGGGGGGTTCGGGGGCTCAAGCCCCCCTTCCCCTTGGGTTCAACCAAGTAATACGATATTCTTAATTTCTTTAGTCACCAGCGACTCTGGAGTATGTACTTTGAGTAAAATTTTGTGTCTAGCCCCCCCCCCCTTTCCCTGAATCCTGGATCCACCCCTGCCACTCGGTTGAAATACATTAAAAATTTCAATATTTTTTATCAGTATATTTACCGATATAATAATAAATAACTTTTTTTTATTAAGGGACATATTGTAAAACATAATTATTCTTTCGTTTTTTATTAGTCTCGTTATACAGGGTGTCCCAGAAATATGTGCAAGTATTTTAAGAGGTGGTAGATCTCGATAAAAGAAATATATTTTCTCTTTATCGTTTTTCAAATAAGTCCAAAATAACGGAGTTATTTTACTTTAAAAATTTCCAAAATTTCCAATTTCCTAAAAAATGATTTTTTGCTCAAATTTTGAAAACTACTGAATCTTTTCTGAATTTTCTTTCTTGTAAATTTAATCTATTATCTATGTTGCCATATTATCAAGAAATGTTATTAAATTATAAATTATGTTTTTTAAACTTTTAAAAACTAAAAAAAATTCCAAAAAAATTTTCAAAAAAATCCGAATTTTCAATTTTTTTTTCGCGAAAAAACCTCATAAACGTGTTTCTGGGGTTGAACTATACTATCAGTTAAAATACTTGCAGTTATTTCTGGGACACCTTGTATATGTAAATGAATAAGAGAATCTGTTTTTATTTGTAAATTTGTCTATACCGAGTGCGTCTCAAAAGTGGCTCACCCCCTATAACTTTTTTATTTTTTCAGATAAAAAAACGAGATTTGGTATGTTAGTATATGACATAAATTAGGATTGATTGGTGTATTCAATTGTTTTTGGTCACTTCCTGTTTTACCGGAAATGACTACAACTTTTAATTTTTAAATGGCACTCTCGGTATTTTTTACATTATTCGATAGAAAATGACATTCCGAATAGAATGACATATCATATGTCAATTTTTGACATTCTCGCTTAATAAAAAATTGTATTTTAAAATTTAATCTAGAGTGCCATGGCTACGTTAAAAATACTAATTCTTTATCAAGGAGCCTTGGAAAATAGATATGATCGTCTAATGTTTTTAGTGTCTTGTCCTGGCCAGTTAGAAAATGCTCAAATCGTATTTTTAATCATATCTCAATTTTTTCAAATAGAACGAGGGTGGCTCATTAGCATATTTGGAAAAAGCATTTTTTTACGAATAAGTTGATAATACGATATTTCGAGTCAAATTTTCGTTACGAACCGCAAGTTATAATTTCAAATAAACCATATGAGAAAATGTCAAATCGTCAGTGAAACGTGATAACCTGCTAACTCCATTTTTTACGTTAATAAGTTTTTTTATACCATTAGAAAGAGAAAAAAATACTCTATAAGTAGGGAAAGCAAACATATTTTTCCCATTAAAGAAAATTTTTTATTTTAACTCAATAATATCTGCTAACTCCTAGTGATCTGAAATAGCCACCGAAATGCTGCTATCTCCGTAATTTTCGTTACGATCACGCTAAAGCAAACACACAGATTCTTAGTCGTATGTTTTTTTAGTACAGTACGTGGATCCAGGGTCGCACTAGGCCAAAGGGGCCCGGGTGGCAATGTAAGGAGGGGCTAGTGTGTTTTTTTGGCGTATTTTTTCGCCTTACGTTTTGGTCAATTTTTCCCTATTATATGCAGGGTGAGTCTTAAATAAGTGCAAATATTTTTAGGGTAGTATATTTCGACCCAAGAAACACGATTATTTTGCGCGAAATTTTTTTCTTTGAAAATTTGGAATTTAAAAAAAAATGGATTTATTTTAATTTTGAGTTTAAAAACATAATTTGTTTGTAATATGGTAACACAGGTAGTAGATTAAATTTACAAGAAAGAAAATCCAATGCTTCTCAAAATTATAGCAAAAAATTGGAAATTTTAAAAGTGAAATAACTCGGTTGTTTTGGATTTATTTGAAAAAACGGTAAAGAGAAAATATTATGTTTCTTTTATGGAGATTTAACAGCCCTGCACATATTTGCACTTATTTAAAACTCACCCTGTATAGAAATCAAGGAACTACCCTAATGCAAGGTAAACCAATGCAATGCAAATTCCATAATGCAATGCAAAAGCAAATATTGTTAAGAATAATAATTATTCTTAATTCTCATTAATTATTAATGAACTATAAAGGGCCCCCCCTAATAGTTATCTATAAAATATGGCCAGTCCGACCCTGCGTCGATCCGTTCTATAAATACGGGGTATCCGTAAAGGGTAAGGGGAAAAACGAAATTCTCTATATACGAGCAGTTCATCGGCGTGCTATAAATAGTTTAAATAACATTACTTACTTGTACAAGAGTTTCCATAATACCTAATCAGTTTTATTTTTTTCAACGTATTTTCACGTAAATGATACATAATTTTTATAAAAATTAAAAAAATAAGGAGAAAAGTAAAAAAAATTAATAAAATCACGCACTGTCTTCCAAGCTCGGTCTACTACCGTTGTATAAAAATTAGGATAAGCATATGAAAGGATTCTACCATATCTTCTAAGAATAATTCTAAGTTTAATTTTTAAATTATTCATTAAGTCCAAAATTCTGCTACTTCAGTTCTTTAAAAATGCAAAAAATTTTAAAATTTTCATTAAAAATTTATTCGTTTTTGGACTTTTTGAATTTAATTGATTATTTATAAATCTGTTTGGGTAATATTCATTTCCACTTTCAAAATTTCGAACAATAAAGGTTGCTATCTCCAGAAGTATATTTTTATTTCTTATTTCTGCAAGACGAATATCTGCTATCTCCCTATTGTGTCTGAAAAAAATGACGTAACACGAAATATTGAGTTTTATTGTTCCCCAGCAAATAAAATTCTTATCTCTTTATCATATTAACGCATCAAAATACTTCCCACATGTGTACATATTTTTTTGTACCGTTTATTTGCTCTCCTGTAAAATTAGGAATAATGGAGTTAGCAGTTTATCACGTTTCACCGACGATATGATATGTCATTCTATTCAGAGTGACATTTTCTATCAAATAAAGTAAAAAAATACTGTGGGTGTCATTTAAAAATCAAAAGTTGTAGTCATTTCCGGTGAAACCGGAAGTGACCGAAAACAATTAAATACGTCAATCAATACTAATTTATGTCATAGACTAACATACCAAATCTCGTTTTTTTTTATTTGTCATTATGTCATTACGTTAAATGCTGTTATTTTTGCTTTAGTTTTGTGCTAAATATTTTTGAGCTATATTTTTAACCCAGAGATAACATCATTTTACGAACTGGGTTAGGATATTATGTAAATTGGGAGGGGGTGGGGGACAAATAGACGAAACTAACATTTTTTCGCCACCAAGTCCCACGCCGCCACTGGTTTTTGGGCCAACTATTAAAGAGATATCACAAACACAATGGAATAATTTTTAAGCGAATTAAAAAATCGCATGGACTCATCACATTAACGCAACACTTCGACGCGTCATCGCATAGTGAGTATGGACAAAATTTGTATGGACTTTTAATAGGATATGGTTTAAATATTTGGATGTGGCCGGAAAAACATCGTGCAAGAATTTGTTAATCCATTTCTGACATTGTAAAATGATGTTACATCAAAAAGTAGTAGTCTGCCTCTATTTTGTATTAAATAGTAAATGGTTGGTGTTTTCTTTATTTAAAATGCAAAATAGAAAACATTTGTTCAAAAGTATTTAAAAGAGAAAATGCCATTATTTTGTATAGCTACCTTAAATAATTTAATTTGAAATTATTTTTATTTTATTTTATATATTATTGTTATTTTGGAGAAACTATATTATATTATTTATTATAGTAACATAAAATTATTTATATGAAAATACCCTCCCCATTTTTTTATTACTAGCAACATCGTTTATGTTCATATATAACAACAGTACCCTTAACTAGAAACTTTATAGATAGGTACTGTATAAAATCATAAAAGGTACCTACTGCTAGGCAACCACCAGTACCCCGTGGTATGAAACTACAGCTAATTCAACTTTCTTACACGCAGGTAAAACCAGTTCCTTCGTTCTTGAGGCCATCCAAGTACTACTTTCATCTAAGTCGCGTCGAAGCAGTTCCTTGTCATCCGCGATTTTAACTTCACACGACCTGCATTTCACTTAATTTCCACGTTTTTTCATATTGAAAATGAACTGTATCTGATTTTAAAGTGTGTCGCTTTATAGTAGCAGTAAAGTTTGTGTCTAGCGAGTGTATTTTGTGGTTCTTTTGCATTATTTAGAATATATTAGTCAAAATGCCTTGTTCCGCTGTTACCTTAAGTTTAGCCACAATAACTAGCATCATAGCTGTAGCGTTGCTTGCTATAGCCTTCGCCACGGACAACTGGCTTTATATAGAAGTAAAAAGGACTAATATCCAGGTAAGATTTTCATATTAAGAAAAATAGTCTTAGTTCCTTTAGAAGTGATTCTTAAGAAAATATTCAGAGGCAAATACTTTTGAGTTATTCGTATTTCCTAGAGTATTTCCTTATGTTTACACCTACATAGTTTAAATGAATAAGCGTTAAAATTAGAGTAGTGATTATTTTGTAAAAAATAATAGCCTTTTTTATAAAAAAAAAATCCATAAAGTTATTTTTACTTATACCGGGTGCGTCTCAAAAGAGTCTCGCCCCTAGAACTTTTTTTTTCAGATGAAAAAACGAAATGTTAGTATAGACATAAATTAGGATTGATTGACGTATTCAATTGTTTTTGGACACCTCCTGTTTCACCGGAAATTACTACAACTTTTGATTTTTAAATGACACTCACGGTATATTTTTACTTTATTCGATAGAAAATGGCACTGTGAATAGAATGACATATCATATGTCAACTTTTGGCTTAACATTATGGCTTAACTTAAATGTAATTATAATTTATCTATTTATTTTATAAATAAAAATATTATTCTGATGTTGAATTTTGAGTTTTTGAGAGTTGTTTGTAACTTGTGTTAGCTATCTGCTTTTAGATACACTCTATATCAATAATTTTTTGGCATATGCAGAATGTACAAAGCTTTTTGTACCATTTAGGACCATACGTATGACTAAAAATGCATATTTTTCGAAAAAACGTCGTAATTTATTTCAAACAAAAAAAAATTAAAAAAAACGATCAAATAGTTTTTTTCTAATTTCAATACAGATTAGTCGTACTTTGTAAAAATTCCGATTTTTTAAAAATTGTAAATTTGCGGTAAAAAAGATTATTGACCAAATTTTCACACTCTTATAAAACACCCTGTATACGAGAATTCGCTAAATATATACCACATAGAAAACCACATAGCATCTTAATCACAATAGATGCATCTAAAACCTGGTCCAAACCGTATCCCAAAATCTTTTTTAGTTCAAGAGATATTCAACTTCAAAAAATTAACTTTATTTTCGCTTAACAAAAATCGTATTTTAAATTTCAATCTAGAGTGCCACGGCTGTGTTAAAAACACTAATTTTTAATCAAGCCGAGAATCAAGCCTTGGAAAAATAGATTTCATCGTCTAATGTTTTTCGTATCTTGTCCTGGCCGGTTAAAAGATGCTCAAATTGTATTTTTAATCATATCTCAACTTTTTTAAATGGAAGGAGAGTGGCTCATTAGCATATTTGAAAAAAGCATTTTTTTACGAATAATTTGTTACCACACACTTGGCATTTCGAGCATTTCGCATTTAAGATGTCATTATGAATCGCATGTTGCAATTTCAAATAAACCATATTCAAAAATGTCAAAAGTTGACATATGATAGATATGTGTTTACTTTATTCGATAGAAAATTACACTCTGAATAGAATGACATATCATATGTCAACTTTTAACATTTTCGCTTAAAAACAAATTGTAATTTAAATATCAATCCAGAGTGCCATGGCTGTGTTAAAACCACTAATTTTTAATCAAAGGGCCTTGGAAAAATAGATTTGATCGTCTGATATGTCAGAGTCTATTCAGAGTGTCATTTTCTATCGAATAAAGTAACAAAATACAGAGGGTGCCATTTAAAAATCAAAAGTTGAAACCGGTGAAACAGGAATTGATCGAAAACAACTGAATACGCCCATCAATCCTAATTTATGTCATATGCTAACAAAACTCAATTTTTTTTATCTGAAAAAATAAAAAAAATTATAGGGGTGAGCCACTTTTGAGACGCACCCAATATAGGGTGAACTTAAATCACTATAGGTATCATCAAAAGACATGAATCTATAAGTATATATTAACAAAATACCTAACTAAATAAACTGAAATAAATAAATCATAACATAGAAAACTAAAGTGAATTTGCAATTGTGAGGGTTTTTTATATTAAACAATTTAAAATATTAGTAAATACACCATTCAGTAAATTTGAAAATATACATTTAGGTAACTCTATTATTTATTTTATTAATATGTATAAATTATTTATAAGTATTACGAGTATTAAATCTGAAATCATACCGTCATCATTCATAATCCCATATATGCATCAAGCATAAAATTAGAGATCTCTCTTGATTAAGTTTATATAATTACTGAATAATTTGTTAGATATACAGTTTAATAATATTATATCAACTGGTTTTAAAAAAATTATTTGAAAATAAATGAAAATAAATAGTTTATTTATTACTTACATCAATGCTAGAAACAAAAATAATTGTAATGTTTAACACTTAGTCATCATTATAGTACCTAATAAGATATCAATTGTTTTTTTTTTTTGGCTATATACCTAATATGATGTCAATTTGTTATAATCGCAAAAACAGAGTTTACTAGAGTTGCGAAAAATCATGACCTATGTAAAAATATTTTTAATAACGTAGGTATTAAACTTAAGGTCTTTGAGGCTACTCACATACCACTGTGTAATTTTTGTGGTTCATCATATGTCACTCTTCTTGCTATGTCACTATTTTTGCCATTTAATAGATTACTGTACTGTAATAGACTACTGTACTTTCGGGTCGCTCTCAGGGATCGGGTAGAGCGGGTGTGTGGCCGAAGGAATTTATATTGTTACAAAACAATATAAATTATATATCACTGTAATCCGAAAACTTCAGTCTATTTCCGTATTGTAACGGAATTTTAAATTATATCTTTATTTTCGTGAAAATTTAGTCCTAACATAAGGAACATTTTGTTGACGTTTGATCATCAAAATCTTAAAAATAAAGAAATTGTCTAAAAATATACTACAATACCGATATAGTATAATCCTTTATCTTTAATTTCTTTTTTCATTTGTGTAAAAATACCTAGCCAGTTTGACATAAAACGTTAAATGCCGAACGCTTATTTTGCTACTTTTTTGAATTAGCGAAATGGACTCTTAAGATATTTAATTATGTAGGTCACCTTACTTTTATCTATCACTGAGACTTGGTCTTGCAATCGAATTAGTAGTCTTCTTCTTGCTCTTGTAGAGTCAGTGGCGGACTAAGCCTGTCGGGGGCCCGGGGCGGCAAAGCTAAATGTGGCCCCCGGTCTGCACATTTTGTAAAGATTGAATGAAGTATGAATAATGGTTGACAATTTTCAAATATTTATATACTGTACTAATTGTAATAAAAATCGATATATATATATATACAGGGTGTCACAGAAATAAGTGCAAGTATTTTAAGGGGTGGTAGATAAAAGAACCATATTTTTTCTTTATGTTTTTCAAATAAATCCAAAATAACGGAGTTAATTTACTTTGAAAATATACAAATACAAAAATGTTGCTCTTGTAAATTTGTTCTTGTAAATTTAATCTAATACCTATGTTGCCATATTAACAAGAAATTATGTTTTTTAACCAAAAACTAAAAAAATTCCCGAAGTTTTCAATTGTTTTTTCGCGAAAAAAACCTCATAGGCGTGTTTCTGGGATTGAACTATATTACCATAAAATACTTGTACTTATTTCTGGGACACCCTGTATATTACAGTCAGTATGTCCCCGGATTGTCTTTACAAGACAAAATTTTTTTGAAACTTTTCTTTTTGAAAAAAATGCGTTCATAAGAATTTTTGCTTGTTGTAAAATGGCGTTTATAATTTTCTAAATATCCATACCGTTTTAGAAAAAATAAAAAAACATAAAAATGTAGTTTTTTAATGTAATTTTTCCCCCCAAAAAATCCTAAAAAAAATAAAAGTCCTAAAAATTAAAACGCTATGGTAATATAATTTCGATTTCATTTTTTGATAGATCGTTATATGTCACTCTTCTTGCTATGTCACTATTTTTGCCATTTAATAGATTACTGTACTGTAATAGACTACTGTACTTTCGGGTCGCTCTCAGGGATCGGGTAGAGCGGGTGTGTGGCCGAAGGAATTTATATTGTTACAAAACAATATAAATTATATATCACTGTAATCCGAAAACTTCAGTCTATTTCCGTATTGTAACGGAATTTTAAATTATATCTTTATTTTCGTGAAAATTTAGTCCCTAACATAAGGAACATTTTGTTGACGTTTGATCATCAAAATCTTAAAAATAAAGAAATTGTCTAAAAATATACTACAATACCGATATAGTATAATCCTTTATCTTTAATTTCTTTTTTCATTTGTGTAAAAATACCTAGCCAGTTTGACATAAAACGTTAAATGCCGAACGCTTATTTTGCTACTTTTTTGAATTAGCGAAATGGACTCTTAAGATATTTAATTATGTAGGTCACCTTACTTTTATCTATCACTGAGACTTGGTCTTGCAATCGAATTAGTAGTCTTCTTCTTGCTCTTGTAGAGTCAGTGGCGGACTAAGCCTGTCGGGGGCCCGGGGCGGCAAAGCTAAATGTGGCCCCCGGTCTGCACATTTTGTAAAGATTGAATGAAGTATGAATAATGGTTGACAATTTTCAAATATTTATATACTGTACTAATTGTAATAAAAATCGATATATATATATATACAGGGTGTCACAGAAATAAGTGCAAGTATTTTAAGGGGTGGTAGATAAAAGAACCATATTTTTTCTTTATGTTTTTCAAATAAATCCAAAATAACGGAGTTAATTTACTTTGAAAATATACAAATACAAAAATGTTGCTCTTGTAAATTTGTTCTTGTAAATTTAATCTAATACCTATGTTGCCATATTAACAAGAAATTATGTTTTTTAACCAAAAACTAAAAAAATTCCCGAAGTTTTCAATTGTTTTTTCGCGAAAAAAACCTCATAGGCGTGTTTCTGGGATTGAACTATATTACCATAAAATACTTGTACTTATTTCTGGGACACCCTGTATATTACAGTCAGTATGTCCCCGGATTGTCTTTACAAGACAAAATTTTTTTGAAACTTTTCTTTTTGAAAAAAATGCGTTCATAAGAATTTTTGCTTGTTGTAAAATGGCGTTTATAATTTTCTAAATA